TCTGATCTGTAAGCACTGTCAGGAGAAACTGAAGGACCACACAGGCAGAAGAGAAAAGCCGGTCTTGTTCTGTGAGGAGTCCTGGGGCCTGGCTGCATGGTGGCCCCAGCAGCAACAGCCTGGCAAGGAGGTTTGGAGACATCAAAGAGACAAAGGCCTGGCAGGTGGGACATAGGGGAGCTCATCTAAGAGAAGATCATCAGTTGGATGAGCTCCAGAGTGACAACCTTCCCCAGCTAGGGGGAAGCAGCCATATCATGGTCATTGGTGAGGGAAGGGTCAAAAGGAACAGGCAGAGGAGGGACTGCAATGGAGATGAAAGTGGTGGGTATGTGGGTGGCATGTACACATGTGCACACGCACACACACACACACACACACACACACACACACACAGAACCACAACTGTATGCATATGGAATCGATAGGTACCTTCGGGGACTGGGAATGTGAAGGAATTAATGCAATTTATCAGAGGCATGGCAAGTAGGCAACCTCGGAAGACAAGAGTTGGGTACAGCTAACTCTCAAAGAAAAGTGAGTTTATTCCCAGATTGGAACAGAGTCTCCAGGAACCCAGGTAAGTGGTGATACAAGAGCTAGAAAGACAATAATCCTGCTCTGCCCCTCAGGCTTCCTCAGCTGGCCCACATGCCCAGGTCCCTCATGGGTGATCCCTTCTACCACCCAGCAGCCAACAGTATCTAGCAACCAAAGTCTCCCCACCTCTCCCCTGTAGACACACCCACACTGAGGTCAGCAGGGACTGATACCAGATTTTCACATTCACCTTTGGTCCATTCCATGTGGCCCATTGCACATGATACCACCTGACATCATCTTTGGTCACCACATTCATGATGATGCAAGCCGGGGACACTACAGCATCACATAGTGCACATGGTGGCCCTGGGGGCAAAGAAAGACCCAACACCAGACATCAGGACAGTTTGACAGCCAAATTTGGATTAAGAGCTATTGTACAGGGTGGGGTTCTAGACAGGGACTTGTCTTTTTGATCCTTTGGGGCCTGGGGAAGCCTGGGCATTCCATGTGTTAAGATCCAGAGCATGAACCTAGTATCCTAGTCACATTTCCTGGTTCTAGAAAGCCTAGGTCCATCTCCAAAGTCAGCACCTGCCTGAGTCCATTTTGGGAAAATAGGAACAAG